AAACCCACCAGCCACTCCTCGGAAGGAAGACGAGGCAATCTATTTCTGTAGTGATACCACCTCAGAAACCCAAGGAGGGGTCACTATGAGTTGGGGCCGACTTGAAGGCACATAACAACAACAACACAATATGGTATGTGTCTGAAAATATCCCACCACACAGTACATGGAAGCTAAGAATCAACTGTAAAACTAGAGAACTTTTCTATTTTAATATTTTATTGTGCTCTAGGTATAAGTTTACAGAGCAAATTCATTTCTCATTCAATAGCTTGTTCATAAAGTGTTCCATGGCATTTCCCATGCTGTATCAACACTCATCCCATTTTTGCCTTGGTTCCCCATTTCCTTTCATCTGAATTTTCCACCTCTTCCTTCTTTCCCTTTTTCTCCCTTCTCATCTTTGCTTTTGGGCAAATGTTGAACTTTTGCTCTCGTCAGCCCCTGCAGATTCATGAGTCAGGAAAATCCTCTAGCTTGTGATAGTTGGAGCTATGTGTCAACTTGGCTGGACCACAATTTTGTGTGGTTTAAGCAATTGTGATGTGGGAATATCCCATGATGGGATCAGATGTATATGGTTTGAGCAGCCAATCCGTTAAAAGGGAGTTTCCCTAGGGGTGTGGCCTGCTTCCTATATATTCATGGACATCCTGGGAAAAGAGACACTCTTCTGTGTGGATCAGAATCCTGTTGTGCTGCCTACAATTGTCCATGAGCGAACAATCCACCATTCGGCCTGGAGATCTTGGATTCATCATTCATTGGAGTCAACAGCTGGCATACTGCCTGCCAACCTTGAGCTCATCAGCCCCTGCAGCTATGTGAGTCAGGAAAAGCCTCCAGATTGACATTTGATCCAAGAACTTGGGACTTGCCAGCTTCAGTGGACCGGTAAGGCTGTCGCGGTCTGATGTCAGTTCTCTCCACTCTGCTCCTGCCGTCTCTCATGCCAGTCTCTCGACTCTGTTCCTGCCATTTCTCATGCTAGTCTCTTAGCTCTGCTCTTGCTGTCTCTCATGCCGCATGCCGGGGTCTCTCTGCCAGAGTCTCGGGTCAAGGATTCACTTCACTCCTTCAGGTATCTGTCAGAGCAGCATCCCTTTCTCGGTACCATATTTGGTTCTGGTTACCTAGTGCGGCTCTGACAAGAATACACCACAAATAGTATGACCTTAACAAACAGGAGGCTAGGAGTCCGAGTTCCAAGTGCCAGGCTCTAGGGGCTGGATGAAAGCCTCCAACCTTAGGCTTCAGCCCTACCTCTTGCTCCTGGCCCACTGAAGCTAGAGGCATCTCTCTACTCAGGCAGCTACTAGCTACTGAGGCTGACAAACCCAAGGTCAACAAGTGAAAAGGCACAGTCCCGATGTTACCAAACCACACAGAAGGCCATTGATTCAAGTCCATTGAAAGTCCCAGGATTGGAAGAGCATGGCGGGCTGCTGAACGATGACTCGGCTATATGCAGGGTTCAAGTGTACCATAAACTAGAGACCATTCCCAAAGCTGTTTCTTATATACAGGAAGCAGACCACATACCCAAAGGCAGCTACTCAGCTGCTCACAGTAGATTCCACCATGGAGTTGATTGCCTGTCTCATCATGGGAAGTACTACAGCCAGCTGCCCAGCCACTTAACCAGGCCCAGCCAAGTTGGCACACAAGCTTAACTACCACATGTAGACATAATACATACTTTGCTCTTTGGGTGGAATTAAGACTTGGCTTTTGGTAAATCTTGTGGCTTTAAAATGTCAAGCATGAAGGTCCTGGATCAATCAAAAGACTTAAAGGACAATAAGGACTGGAACATCTTATACTTTCTAGTGTACCAGGCACTTAACTAGAGATTTCCTTACTCCCAGTTAAAATATAATAAAACTGAGACACAGAGACAGGATATAGCACAATAATTTCAAGCTTAAAAGGAATATATGAATAGCATTCAAGTATCCTACCTCCTGTAGTCAAGGCACCAAATTTTGCATGCAAACTAAAGTTTAAAAAAA